ATGAAGAAACCGTGGTTTTAGAGACTGAGAGACTTGTCCTTCTCCCACAGTAAGAAGGTGGCAGACACAAACTGAAACCCAGCCCCTGACCTCCAGCCAAGTGTCCCTGGTCCTGAAATAAAACTCCTTATTTCTCCCTTTTCCCCCAGTGCTCCCCCATTTTTCTCCTCCCTTTTACTGTCAAAACTCCCACACTTGCAGTTAAGTGCTCTGCTAGGTTTTCACACTGACAGCTTTCTCCAGAAGCCCTGAAAGTTGGCTCCCATGCCCACCCAGACTGATGGTGCTGGCTGAAGGGCACTCAGTGAGCAACATTGCTAGTGTCGGATCCGTCAGAGGTTGGTCTTTCCTGACTGATGGCAGGACCATGGCCAGGATCATGTCTGCTTTCTTCACCACGGGATCTACAGCTGGCCCAGGGCCTGGAGCCAACCAGGAGCCAAATAAATATTCGTTGGCTAACGGAGCTGCTGGTCTGACCTACCTTTCTAAGGCTTCTGTGGTTCTCTTCCTAATCAGATGACTCCTCTTGGTCTGCCTCCTCTACTGGATGGTAACTCCTGGCATCGTCATCAACTGACCAGTCTGCTCATTACTGAAGCTCGACAGGAGACAGACAGAGAAGCAGTCTGACGTTGGGGTGTCTACATTTTATTTGAGAAAAATACGAATATAAGTGAACAATGGAATCACAAACAACATGGGAATAGTGTAATAGTTATGAGCCAAATTAGAGACAAATTGCATGCATTCTTAACCTCTCTGCTTTAGTTTCCTCATCTGCAAAATGGAGACAGTAGTAGTTCTTGCCTCATAGGTTGATGTGAAAATACATTTGAAGCACTTCAAGGAGGGTCTGGAACGTTGAAAGTGCTCAAAAAATGTTTTTAAAAACACAGGATAGTATATACATCATTATTATAAGTGCTGCAGAAACTCTCCTTTTAAGAAGCTTTTTTTCCGTGAAAACTGATCAATTCCCAAAAATTCTTTTTCAAGTATCCTTTCCAGATTGTTCTTTGTCATTTTGACTTATCACTTCATTGTACCAGGAATCGTGGGGATGCTAAGCCTGTCCAGGGCCCTTAAGAGCTGAGGAAAAGAGAGTGGAGGAACCCCAGCTGAGGGTCAGCACCAACCAGCTGTCAGGTGTGTGAGTGAGGCTGTCTGCGTCCTGATGGCCCAGCCTGCCCCACGGCTGGCTGCAGCAACAGGGGAGAGCCCAGGGAGACCCACAGGTGAATCGCGACCACGCACCAGCCCACAGAATGGCGAGAAACGACAGATAAAAGTTGCTATTTAAGCCACTAAGTGTCAGAGTGGTTTGTTTCCCAGCAGAGCATAACTGAAATACCACCTTTAATTCTGCGGTCCAGAGGTGGACATGCTGACATTGTGAATATTCCAAATCTAGGCATTAAGTATACACACATAGCTATTTGCATTTTTAAAACTCAAAGTAGGACACTCTGTATAATGTATTTAAAAGTAGCTTTTTTCCCCACTTAACATATTTTGAATTTTTGCATGAATCATTATACATCTACACTATTATTTTTGGTAGTTGCATTGTACATTATGATTTAGTAACGAGTCCTCCACCGATAAACACTTAGTCTGCTTCTAACTTTTTTTGCCACAGTAAGAAATGCTTTGATGAACATCCTTGAACGTACTTCTTTGCACACACCAAGGATTATTTCCTGTGTGTGGAATTACTAGGTCAAAGATTTGCCTGTTTTCAAGGTTTGATTGAGTATCATCTAATTGCTCTCCAGAAAGGTTGTACCAATTTACATTCCTAGTATGAATGGGTCAGAACCCCCTTTTGCCTGCACTTGTACCAACAGTGGGTGTTTTGTGTTTTTTTTTAAATCTTTGTTGATCTAATGAATTAAAAACTATGCTGTCATTACTGTTTAATTTTGTTTTTACTATTGAGGCTGAGTATATTTTTATGTATAGTGGGCACTTGTGTCTTCTCTGAAATGTGTATTCTCACTCTTTGCTCATTTTCCATAGTTATCTTTTTCTTATCGATTTGTTAATGATGTAGATACTAACGCTTTGTCTGTTATGTGCATGTTTAAATATTTTTCTCTAATTATCCTCTAAGAGAAGATTTCCCTCAGATTTTATGAGTTTAGTTGAATTTTTTTAATGTACAAACAAATCCGTTCATTTTTATTTATTTTTATTTCTGAGACTGGTGTCGTCTGATTTGTTTTAAAGGATAGAAACGCTTAAATACTTTCAGAGTGTCAGATGCCATCCAGGGAAATCCCAGACCCTCAGTTTATGTCGCACACCACAGTCTAGTCTCACCATATTTAGTTGAATTAATCTCCCACAACTTCTACATGCAAACTCTCTGTTCTCGTGAGTTTAGTCTCTGGTATGGGAGCTCGTGGGCTCTGGAGTCTGACAGACCCCAGTCAGGCTTCTGACTCAACAACTAAACAACAGTCTATAAAGAGCTCTTTGTGTAGATACAGGATCGATGTGAGGTGAGTGACAGTGCTTCATATATCATTGGCTCTTAGTAAACATCAGTTTTCCAGCCATCCCCCTGTGGTTCTGTGCCTGCTGGGGCAGCTCTCTGGGATACCTGTCTCCTCTTCACCCCACAATATTTGACCTGCTCTCTGGCCCAGTTCTCTCCAGACTTCTTCACATAGTCTTTCGTAGAGCAGGGAGCTCAGCATGCATCTTACTCAGCCTAGGTGCCTTATATTATTATTTTAATATTTCAAATGTAGTGAATCAGCCAGGTTATAAGCTTCAGGAAGGCCTGGTCTAGAGCTTGGCACTTAAATGCACCCAATATAATATGTAAATAAATGAATAAAGAGTGCATGAGATATAACTGCAAAGTAGTAATACTAGTTAACAAATTGCACTTAAAAATTAGCCTAATTATTATGCCACACACATAATTGGTGATCAAGGCAAATTTGTTTAGTAAATGTAGCAATAATTGGTATCTTAGCCTCTGGTATCCTGCGTTATACTATTGAATATTTTAATAGTTCAATATGTCATTGGAGGAAATGGGTGAAGGTGGTTAAAAGGTGCAACCTTCCAGTTATAAGATAAATAAGTCATGAGGATGTAATGTACAGCATGGTGATTATAGTTAACAACACTGTATTGTATATTTGAAAGTTGCTGAGAGAGCAGATCATAAAAGTTCTCATCACAAGAAAAAAAACTGTAACTATGTGAGGTGATGGATGTTAACTAAACTTATTGCGCTGATCATTTCAGAATATATACATATATCAAATCATTATGTTGTACACCTTAAACTAATACAATGTTATATATCAATTATACCTCAATAAACTGGAAAAAAATTAAAATTTTTAAAAATTAAAAACTATACCATTGGAACATACCAGTGGAATATGTCATTCCTACTAGTTCAATATACTATATTTCTCCAATCCTAAGAAGCACTTTGGTCCCATCTCTGACACCGGGATGTGTACTGTCAAGGAAACAGCCATCGGCCAGGTGGCAGTCATGACATACCTGGCATAGCCTCTGTGCTTGTCAACATGGTCATAACTGTTCCATTTTCTGTGGAATTAACTAAATTCCATTAACTGTGCAATTTAGTATTACATGTGTCCAAGCCATATGCCAAGAAATGCAGCTGAAGGCAGGAGAAATTGCCAGATGTGTCAGATTAGATGGAAGGGATTCCAAAGCAAGAGAGGCTGATATAACCGATTCACGGATCACAGGCACTACACACACGAACTCTCACAGGACTATAGTGAAGGCCCGGAGCTACAGTTTGTCAGAAACTTCCTTCCATCCGTTCATAGAGAAGCTGCACAGCTTGCAGCCAGGTGATTCAGCTGAACAGGAAAACTACGCTTTCAGTCACAAAGGACAGCGCCAGCATCAAACTTGCAGAGTGAGTGTGAGTGGCTAGGAAGCAGATCCCAGAGACAGGACTAGAACATTTGTTAAGAAATGCTGCACTATCAATGATCTTGTGTGGAAAAACACACATATTGATGCTCTGCGTGAAAAGGGATTCAGAAGAATTAGACTAAGTGTACAGAATTTTTAGAAATACTCTAATCAATTTATTTGCCTACATTTTCCTTTTCCATGTAAGCACATTACTGAGAAATCTTTGTCTAAGTCTAAAGGCACTGTTTCAGGAAGTGTAAAACAGAAATCCTCTGTGATAACACATGGTGTCACAGTTTAATTGGCAGCTCTTCTCCTTCTCTGGTGTTCCATGTAATCAAAGATGCCTTAGATTTGAATCGATAGGAGAAACTGAAGGGAGGCTAAAAGAGGCAGCAGGTCTGTGAATTTCAGAGCTTCCCTCAGTGAAGGACCAGAGCTTGGTGTTTTGTTGTTGCTGTTTTGGTGGGTATCATGTTGTTCCTTTGGGATGAGGTAGGAAGATCCTGTGATTTCTTCACAATCATCAGTTACACTTGTTTGCAGATCCAACATAATTTGAAGAGAAGCTAGCGTCTAACCGATCGCATTCCGAATTAGGTAACATTTCATTTTGTCATTAGTTATTACATTTTTCCAAAATAAAAGTAATATGTGCTAGTATGAAAATGTGCTGTATTAAAGTGGGTATGTGTGAGTGTGTAATCAGCCATATTTCTTCCAGCCAAAATATCTGGTAAATTTCTTTTTAAAAAACTCAATTTTTGGAGGCCATTTCTTCTAGTTTATAAAAATATTTCAGATCAAAGTAACATATATTCAATGTACAGTATTTGGTAAGAACCGGAAAGTATAAAGAGGCATGAAAAACATCATGCTTCACCTCCCCACCCAGAGATGGCCTCAATATCTCTGGCCGTTCCACTCGACGTATCTAGGACAACCACGAGAGCGAACTCGCACACACTGGATGCTCACCGCATCCCCGCTGGATGCACGCAAGCTGAACCGACCCGGAGATCAGCCCACACGTGCTGCTAGTAGAACTGATCACACAGATCTCGTGCCCGAAGAGCGTCCATCTCCTCGAGCTGCCTCATTCTGCGCGCGCGGCAGGAGCCGGCCAGGACCGTCTGGATCTGGCAGCGGGGCTCTGGGGAGGGGTCCCCGTGCCCGCGTCACTCGCTCCCTCCTCCACTCCGGGGTGTGCGCCTGGGCCAGCGGGCAGTGAACACGCGCCGCCCCGAGCCCGCGGCCCCGGGACAGCGCGACGGGGCGCACGAGCACAGGTACACGCGCAGGCTGCCGTGAGCGCGGACAGGCGCCTGGGAAAGCAGGCACGCGGGCCGGGGTCAGGGCGGCGCGGAGGCCTCTCTGATGGCCACAGGTCAGAGGTCGAGGGGCAGCGGGACAGGGCGGGCCGCAGAGGCGGCGCGCGGCGCAGGGCTTCCCAAGAGGGACAGGATCCTGACGGCGTCCGCGTGCGCTCGCACACCAGCACCTTGTCGTCGTTGAAGCCGCGTCACTTTTCAGAGGTCACACTCCGGACTCAGCACACACACCCGGAGACGACGATGGAAGCACCCCCGCCCCTCCGCAGCGGGCCGGGCGGGCCCTCCGGAACACCGCGGCACGAACGAGCAAACCCAGATTACAGACTATTTCACGCCGCGGGGGCGAGGCCACCGGATGTGCGTTTTAAGACCACCCGAGGCCAAGGCTGGGGGAGGGGTCACACAGGGCGGGACCAAGTTTGTGGGCGGGTCAATGCTGAGGGCGGAGCCATGGTTGGGGCGTGGTCGAGGCTGGGGCGGGGCCTGGATGAGGGCGTGGCCAGGGGTGGGGGCGTGCCCAAGGCCGAGGAGGGGGCCAAGCCTGGAGCGGGGCCGGGCTGGGGGCGTGGCCAAGGCCGAGGAGGGGGGGCCAGCCCTGGGCGGGGCCAGGATGAGGGCGGGGCCCAGTCTGGGGGCGAGACCAAGCTCGGGGCGGGGCCGGGCCGAGGGCGGGGCCAGGACTGGGGCGTGGCCAAGGCGGGCG